ACAGAATTTCAAGGTGTCTATCGTTTCGCTGCTTGACAACGTTTCCCCAAACTTACCCACATTGTGCAGTTTAATCACACTGTGCGAATGCAGTCAGTCTTTTGGACGATACATGTGTAACCATCCTCACCTGCGATAGATGCTTCGTGTTAAGGACCCCAAGGCATCCATTCAGTTCTACACCGAGGTCTGCTGTGCTTTATCGCAATCTGCTTGCCAACCAAAACACCCACCCTTCGTTAGGTCCTCGGAATGGAATTTCTAGCTAAGCACGATGGTGGAGATTTCACGCTCTACTTCTTGGCGTTCGATGACGGGAAGGGCCTTACTGAGGAGGAAAAGGCACAGGGACGCTTTGCTAGGGAAGGTAATATGCCTCCCAAACCGCGACTGCCCACGTCTTTCACTGTCACCGAATTCCTCCGCTCACATCAGGTGTTCTTGAACTGACACACAACCACGGCACTGAGTCCGATCCTGACTTCAAAGGCTACGCATCAGGGAATACGGAGCCAGGGCGTGGTTTCGGCCATATTGCTATCAGTGTCGATGACATAGCCGCCGCTTGCGATCGATTCGAAAAGTCTGGAGTGCAGTTCAAAAAGCGGTTGACTGATGGGAAAATGAAGAATATTGCATTCATTTTGTGAGTCACCCCTGCTATTCGTTTATCTATCTAATCACTGGACTCCTCACTTGTAGAGATCCTGATGGATATTGGATCGAGGTGAATAGTTGTTGTTAAACATGTCAAATATTTGTCATAGTTTTGAATTCTCTTAGGTTGTTCCGGGCGATCTTCGACTCTAGGAGCTGCGATGTAACGAGTTTTCATTGTAACAAGCTGTCAATCAATCCAATTATCGCTATGTAAACCCTCTTGCCCGCCGGGGCCGAGAGTGTACTGAACATGGCGAACCTTTTTTCCGGGAGACCTCCCAGTAATTACCCGCACCATCCTGTTCAGTATGCCATATCGCACTCCCAGAGGGTTGGATTGAATGCTATTACGACCCCGCTATACAGACATCCGGTTCGGCTAGCGTTTCGTTGAGCGCGCGGACACCTGCAAGAGAAAAAAATCTGGTATTTGGATAGTATCACTGAGTAGAGCTCGTAAGTTTAATTATTGCAAAGATAAGTCAGCGAACCCGTAGCCGTCCAAGCCAACTCTACTGCGCCGAATATCTCAGCATCGCCTTGCTGACAGAAGGTAAGCAGGGGTCGTCGTCACAGTTCGTTATCCTGATATCCAAGGCTCAGCGGAAATGCACAGGAACAACTTGTGCAGGGAGACTACGAGACTTCTTCAGCTCGTTGCGCCATTTCACCATTTTCACCGCCATCTTGAGGTCTTACGCCGATGAATACGACCTAATTCCCGCATCCCTGGAACTTACCTCCCTCATTCGGTCAGGAACTCGCCGGTTCCATGCAGCCACAGCCAACCTTGATCTCGCAATCGCATCCAATGACTCTACGGACACCTGTCCCCGCGAAAAGCCACACGCACAATTTATCTACAGGCATCGCCGCTTGAATGCGTGGCCCAACGAGTGAAATCCCCGGCGGCAGCTGTGCAAAGGCTAGTTCAAATGCAATCTTAGACGTCTCGCACTTTTCTGCAGCAGCGTTTGGTGTTTATCACTATGTGTTCAGGAACAAAAGAGGCGCATGTCGTGGTTATCCGCTGTTACGCACATCCTGCAGGAAATGGCAAAAGCATTTATACTGAACAACAGGAGAACTGAAGAATACCAGGGTATGACGATCCCTAAGCGGGGTTCTTGAACATGCCGATTGGATGAGACAAGGACAAGAGGACGTCATCTAGCCAAGACACCACATGTAGAGGGGAAACTGGAGTCCTCAACATACGTGCGGAATCAACTCGAAGGACAGAAGCTTGAGTTATTGTGGTAAATGAAAAGCCATGGCAACAACTACCGTTCAAAGCCTCAAGGCCCCGTAGTTCCTCAATGGTAGATACTGCCTCGGTCAGGGGTATCAGTCCGGGTAATCGGGAGCTAACGTAACGATCGGGGTCGCCTACTGGGCGCTCGCACGGGGGGCGTTACAGACGCAATTCGCGTGAGTGGGAACGATCGCATCCTCAGCACTACAATAGGCGCATGGATATCGTGTTACCACAGTTCCCGCAGTTTAATTCGTAAGGCGCTGCGAGCACACAAGAAGAAGCATCTCCCTTTCCTAACACAGGAGGCGGTATAGTATACCCCGCGCGTCTAACACGCACTCCTGCTCGACCGCGTCTAGGCCTCGCCGTAAATTTCCTGCCCCCTTCCCAACGATGTAGAGAGAGGAGCCTCGCTATGATGCAGTCCCTGGGTGTTCGTCGTTTGTCGATAAATGGCATTGTTTCGTTTCATCCGGGAGGAAAGCCCATCAGAATTGAGATGCGATGTATCAACTGGTCCCCTCTTGTCACTGATCCACGGAGAAACACTGCTAAGAGATCTAGACAGATTTCGATCCAAAGCTCGTCGCGGATCCAAGGCCGTGGCGCTGATCAGATGCACTTCAATCCACAGCCCCAACTTGGCTGATCGGCCGTGTCTTTGTGAAGTCCGGGGCACTCCCATCAACCTACACAAGCGCAGGGGGCACGAAATTGGACATTCTTCCGGGAAAGTAGGCGGCTCGCACATCATAGAAATTGATAGAATAGGTGAGTAGTTCATAAAACGCTGCGTGGAGCCGTCCATCCCGTCAGCCATTTCCACATGAATGATAACCTCAGTGCCACATAACCAGGTTTCCAATCGGATGTGATCCACGACCGCCTCATTATTAATTAGTCAAGAGTATAGAGCTTCGTGAAAGGTTCGTAGCGGTCGCAGCAGGAAACCAAAGATCGATTCCTTACATAATCATCCCACAACTGTAACTTTGTTGCATCGCACAGACGTTTACTTCATAAAAGTATAAAAACATCACTGTTACACGATGTTCCCGTTTTCTTCAGACCACACTCACGCAGGATACATTCACAGTTGATTGCAAAAAGTTGGTCGAGGACTGTAATTATCCTCATCTACAAACACCAATCGATGAAATCAGCTTCACTGTCTTTATCCGAGAACATGCTCGTTACCTTCTCATGGTGGAGTGGGTGAGCTCGATGACAGATCCGTTCTGGACTTTTCCTTCGGGTTAAGCTCATTACTGGGGACAGTTGAGGTGCTTCTGATGGTGTCTTTTCTTTTCCCTTCTCTTTGTTTGCACCATCCCTCTGTGTTGTTATTTTGGCTTTTGTTGTGATGATATATATATATATAATGATAAATGCTTTTTTCTGTGGTGTTATTATTGTGGGCGTTCGGTGTGTGTGTGTGTTGGTTTGTTGCGTGATGTGGTTTGGAGTGCATTCGGGTTTTGTTTTTGGGTAGGTGGACATTGGTAATAGTGGGGTACAATACTACGGGTACTTGGCGTAGTTGAAAGAATGATAACAATGAAAAGTCCCAGTTATCATAATAGAGAAAGCAGACAGTGGTGCGGTGTCCACGGTAACCCCGCAAAAAAAAAAAATGAGGGTACAGTCAGGATATCTACGAGCGGTCATCATACCTACAGGACGCGAAAGCAAAGCTAAGAGATTCGGGTAAGACTCGTTCGTTCATATTGAACGGGGTTTAGGTTGTAAATAACAGAAATATAGACCGAAAACGAAAGGAGCACCAAGGACTGAAATATGACCGACTAGAGGTATGAAGGAGCACAGGTGGAAATATGATCAATATTCAAGTAACGTATCGACAAATACTCGAGATTCGAAAAACAGAGGAAGCAAGGGGAAAGTGAAGGAGGTTGCCGAGCTGCCATTTCACACAGGGGGTGCAGGAGGCGTCCCTTGCGAGGGAAACTCGTGATCAATGATGAGTCCATTCGGGGGCGGGGGGGGAGGTGGAACGTGCTCGTCTGGGTGAGGATTGATTGGCACGAGTGCGTGGCCAGCTACCGCCGCCACAGCTGCCGCAGCCGCGGCGGCAGCAGCAACAGCAGCAGCCGCGGTAGATGATCCTCGAGCCTCCGTGCCACTGCCACCCCCGTTGTTACGTTGTGCGGCGGCGGCAGCTCTCTTGCATGCTGCTCCCCCTTCAGAGCGCACTAGAGTGAAATAAAAGGCGTCGAATCATTGTCAGAACAAATACGTTACAAATGGAAAAAGTAATCGAGAGAGAACGCACGGTGTCGATTAAGAGCATCCGTCCGGGAGAACGACTTGCCACAGCCACCGCACGTATGCTGGGCACCCTGGGCAGAGTGGAGACTTTGATGACGATTGCAATCGTGTTTCCTCGCAAATGATTTACCGCATCCAGGCCATTCGCACACGAAAGGTCGCTCCTCGGTATGCGATCGTAGGTGACCTAAGAGCCAGAGATATCGCAACTTCAGTCATAATGCTCGTTCGATATGAACTTAGGACAGCCACGGCCCCAGATATCTCACCTCGCAAATTGAATCGTCTTGTGAAAGTACTTCCACATCCCGGAACGGGACACTTGAATAACGCATCGTTCCTTCGTCGGCTGGCGCTAGCTTGCTGAGTGGCTGTAGTCGTGACGACGTGCTTTTCAACTTGCATGATAGGTGGTAAACGGGTACCTCCAGGTCCTGTAGCATCTCCCGATTGACTACCGCTAGGCGATCCACGATCGGCACCTCCAACCTCAGCGCCGTTCTCGCTCGCGCCTTCGCTGTGATCCTCGCCTAAGCTACGAGACCTTAGGGGCGCATCGATATCCTTCACAACCGTCGTCTGGTGAATCGCGTTTCCATTCTCGTCGAGTGTGATATCTGTGAAAGAAGAAGTTCCTTGATCCATCACACGAAGTTTAATCGACTCGAGAGGAGGAGAACGGCGAGCGTGCCGGCCGCCCGGTGATAATCCACGTTTACGTTTTGTCGGAGGCCCGTTAGACGGCGGGAGCGGACCCATCCAGGCAGCTTTGGTAGCCCAAGCAGCGTTCAACTCGGCTGAATTACTGGGGAAGTATGTAGCAGGAAGTGGGGCTTGCGGAGGTGGTGCAGGAGGTGGGGATCGAGAGGAGGTAGCGTGATTCATATGCGGAGGTGAGCGCGCGCTGCCTGCGGAACCATTTAGATGAGGGTTAAAGGGATAAGAAGGACCCATATGCGCAGGGTAAGCCATCGACCGGCGCCTTTTTTCTTCATCTCGGTCACTGTCGGGAGCATCTTCACCGGGAAGGATATCTTGCAATGTCTTTCGAACATCGTCATCTTCTTCGACATCTTCTTCCTCGTCCTTGCCACTGCCACGGGCATTCGATTGATGATGCGGTGTTGGATAATCATGAAGTATGACTGGTAACTGTTGACCAAAATAGCCTGCGGGGCCTGCTGTGGGATTACGCATAATGTTGTGATGAGGTGGATGATAGAGTTCTGGGGCTTGACTTGTCGAAGGTTGAGGAACCAAGTTGGGAGGAGGATTTTGAGGAGGGAGGGTTGCAGAATAGGCTGTGAGACATTTATAAAATGAAGAGAACAGAGAAGAGCAGCATTAGTCATCGCACTGGTCTGTCAGGAGAAAAAAAAAAGTGAGCCTTAGACGCTGGACACACACCTGAAGCGCGGATGCGAGTATTCAGCGATGAAGTGGATGCGGGTGATGTTGACCGAGGAGGATTGTTATCTCCGTCAGTATTTCCGTTAGAACCGCGTTCGAAACTCATGCTGGCAAGCGGGGTTGTGCTCATGCTTTGACTGAGAAGACTTTGAAGGTCGTGGCTTGGCACTTCGGTTTTGAGGAAAGGAGCGATTGGGTCGCAGTGGCTGGGCAAAACAAAGTGAGGACTCGCACAGCCCCCTTGACGACCCCGAGCTGGTGTGTGGCTCTGCTGGTTCCAAGAGAGCAAGGCTAAATATGGAAATCGCGAACACGGCAGAACAGCCTCACTCCTGCCAACCCATCAGACCCTGAGAATAGATGGATCTGCCACCTAGCTTGGTTCACGCAAAATCATTTCAAAAACAACAAAAACAACCACGTCGCCAGAACACATTTTCTCATCGTAAATGGAGTTATACAGTGCCGCCCGCGAACCGAATTGATGAGATTCTCAAACTCAACAAACAAATACGAACAAAAACGACACACACACATTCCCCATCAATACCATAAACAGAAAAAACGATAATCAAATTGGACGATGGCGACCACGAACCAAAGTTCGATTTCACACACCATTGGCATTGATCGAGTTCGCCATGCCATCAAAATTATTGCTTGTAGCGCCACCAGCGCATGCTTTCTTACCAGTACCACCACCAACAAGACCATCAGATCGCCCATCGTTGTCAGCCACCTCTGAATTCAATTCCCTCTCTTGCACAGCTGATGCGGTCATCATTTCACCCATACCAAACACAGCCTGGGCCCGTCGTCGTCGTATGAGTTCTGCTTCCGAAAGCAACACAGCCCCCGTTGTCGCCCCTCCCATTGTCGAGTTGGGCATAGATGGCCCCAATAAAGGGGGTATTATTATTGGAGGTTGTCGCGATGGCGACACCGTCTGTTTTAGCATCTCGCTTGCATTCTCCACTGGACTTTGACTTGTACGGTTAGCCCCGGGGTTCAACAGCGTCGGGGTGGCTGAGTTCAACGGCCGAGCGCTGGGCAGTTCACCAACTGATGCTACTGATGCATCAGGCTTAACTGGCATAGCAGTACGTCGTAGCTGTGGAGAGGCACCGGAGGGCGAGGTTATTAGATCGACTGCATTACTACCAACACCAAATGAAGTTTGGCTCGGTGGCGGCGGTGGTGAACGGTTTTTTCGAGGAGTAAACGACAACGGCGCATCACGTTCCGTCTCAGTCGACTGAGCAGATGTAGATGAGAGCTCTTCACTTATGATTCTGTTCATGGGCACCATCCTAGCAGTTGGGGACACACCTGACGGTGGTGAGCTAGTGCCAATAACGGGTGACGCAGAAGGGAGAGGGAATATGGGTTGAGCGCCTTTGAAACTCGTGTTTCCATCACCATTAACCAAAGCGGGGGTCCCATCACCACCACCAGACCCGGTACTCGCTCGACGTGAAAACTCAGGCCTTCGGGGTGATCCGGGTCGTTTATGAGTGAAACCAGCTCGAATGGCCCTTCCAGGGACGGTGGATAAGGCCGAACCCGATGCAGAAGCAGAACTACTGGTTGCAAATCGGTCTCCCATCCAATCAGCCATTTCGTTGATCAACAACTTTGCTCTCGGTAGCAACGCCGTCATCTGCAAAAATCCATGTCCCCATCCTTCCACAAGCCGCATATCAACCCAATCCGATTCCTTCTCATTCAAAAGTCTTTCACGCTCTCGTTCTTTCGCAGAGGGGTTCATAGACGATAGCCGCAACGATTCGCCACCCACACCAGCACGAAGTTCCGTCTTACGCATACGTTTCGCTTCGCGAATCTTCCCACCAAAGATGATAGTATCATCCACAAATGGATCCCTCTCACCACAAATCATAAGCACAGGTGGAAAATGCGAAAGGAGATGGGAAGGCGCAAATATCGGGGAGATGTAATAATCCGTCATGAAATCCGGATTGTGCTTCGGTCCAACGTAGAGGATGGCCATCGCGCGCATCTGGGATCAAAAGTCACGGGCACGGGGACGGGCATGGGGGCATCATCAGCCAAGTAGCAATAGAGAAACACTCCCCCCCCAAGTCGGGACTCACCATTGCAGGAGAGATAATCCTATCGGTAAAGAAGGCCGCTCGACTAGTCATAGTCACCCTCGTCCCAATGGGAACTTTGTTCATCTTCGCCTCTTTCTTCCCATTACGTTCTTTCTCCTTGCCTTTATCGTCATCCCCATCAGAATAAAGCACCCTAGCAGAAAGGGGTTTATCCTTATCTTCCATCCTCCCATATCTTACATGCCAATCATCTTCATCATCTTCCTCGTCTTCCTCGTCGTCGCTCTCGTTCCCCCCGTCATCTTCTTCCTCAATAACGCCCTCAGCAGCAGAAAGGGACTTGTCCCTCTTCGCGGGAGAAGGAACAGTATGGGACGACCCCCCCTCATCCTCATCCTCTCCAGAACTAAACACATTTTCCCAGAGGCCGCCGCCGCCACCAAGTTGCGTCTGTCGTGGAGGCGATGAACGCCCAGCCTGTGGGCCTGCGCCATTCACGCGAGCAGGGGTCCCAACAGGATTAGAATTGCCAGTGACGTTCGTATCAATAGCAAGATCGTTAACCTCGCTTACGCGACTTAACACCCTCGCACGAAAACTTGCACTGACCCCTTTCCCAGTTCCAACTTGACGAGTCACACCAGCTGGTGCAAAGGTAGCAGCCGTGCCAGTGCCAGTGCCAGTGCCGCTCGCAGGCATAGCTACATGATCGCCTCCGTTCTGTTTGACCACCACCGCCGCCGCCACCGCGTTAGGGGTCTCCGATGTAACGGAAGGCACTTCCTTCGGAGCAACGAGTGAACCCCTCTCCAGATCCGCACTTTCATTCCCATTTCCACGATGTCCATCCCCATCCCAACCAAACAGTCCCTTCCCACCTTTCTTCGTAATGGGTGAGATCGGCTCTCCCCCACCGCCAACGCTCAACAACCGTCCAGCCCAACTCCTCTGCCTCCTCACCCTCCTCTCTTTCACACTCCCCCCATCTCCTTTCCCCCTTTTCCCTCCATGCCCCTTTCCCCGACCAACATCCACGTCCCCAACAACGCTCAACGGACTCTTCTTCATCAAAAAGTGATCCTTTTGTTGCGTCAAAAGTGAACTCAAACTAGTCGCACTCTTCTCATGCTCAGCCCTCAACACACGTAGATTGGAAGGTGTCATCCAGGACGTAAAGTTGAAGTCAAGCGCTGGATATGCCAAGACGAGTGCGATTGGGAGTGGAAGTGGAGTTGACGGTGAACGGGATCGAGAGTTTGTCATTATGGGGGAAGTGGAAGAAGGGTTCGTGGATGGATTTTGTACGGTGCTTGGGGTTGCTGGGGTAGGTGCAGAGCTGGGAATGGAAGGGGCAGGAGGAACGATGAAAGTTCGCCCGAGCGTCGGGTTGTTGTATTCGAGAATCTTGAACATTGTCGTCGCGACAAGGTTGCCACCACTACAAATGAAAGTTCCCCAAAGTTAACAGGGAACCCCAAGGGAGAGAGAGGGAGGGGGGGATGGGGAGAAAAAAAATTAAGCACATACGCGGAATCTCCACTGAGAATAATCCGTAACGACCGTCCCGACATACCAATCACGCTCCCCTTCGTCTCCATCAGTACCTTATACGCATCAAAACATTCCTCGATCGCCCATGGGTACGGATCTACACAAAAAATCAAACCATCAGCCTCATCACAAAAGCCACCATCTTTTTTTTTCTTCAAAAAAAAGGTTCACAGTAAAACTCACATTCCGGCGCCTTCCCATAATCAACCGAAACCACAGGCCTCCCAATCCTCACACACCAATTCCTCAACCTTTCCTCATGATGTTCGGGACTCATACACACAAACCCTCCCCCCGGTAAATCCAACACCAATTCGTTCATCCAAGCCAACTCCCTCTCCGTTCTCGAAAAAAATAACTTTATTTTGATCGGTATCGAATGTTTGGAAGAGGCTGGACGCGGAATGTGAAGGGTTTGGACGACGGGGAGGCGTGGTCTGTCGAAGTAACCGATGACTCGGAGCTGTTTTGGTTGGGCAATTGTGAGAAGGAGAGATGAGAAAAAAGAAAAGAAAAAAGGAGGCGATTTAGAAAGCGGGATGTAAGGAATGGAAGGACGTACGTATGGATTAGACGTCTTCTCCCAAGTTGCCCTGAACATCTCGACGCTACAAACTGCCCTAAACCTCCGGAGCTGCTCACCCCAAACCGCACCGAAAAAAACCATCAATTTCGTTCCCAAAAAAAAAAGCATGATAACAGAGATTGCAGGTCGAGAGAATATCCAATAACGAAACGGTCCAAGTCCCCCCGAACACCGAGTATCATCCCAACAACGATATATAATCCCCCCCAAAAAAAATAATAAAACGAAAATAAGCCCCAAAGGAAATAGATCAGTTCTTTATCCTCAGAAAGAAAACCATAACAACATACCTTTTCATCCGCATCGCCCGCAAACACCAAATAATACCCAGTGAACAAAATGCTCATTAGATCCCTTAAAAACTTGGGTCGGATCGGGATGCAACTTGCAAAAGCTGCGTCGAGAGCGGTTACGATCCAGGTCGCTCGATAAAAGTCTGGTTTGTAGAGGTGTGAGTGGGGATCGGGTGCTATTAGGGGGGTAAGGAGAGGAATAATAACATTAGTTGTGTTTGAATCGGTGAGAGATGATGAATGAGAAAGGGGGAAGGGGGAGAAGAGGGAGGGGAGGGGGAACCGTACCGGCTAACCCGATGATACAATCGATATTCCTTGACGCGTACATGATGGATAACGTGGATAGGATAATTTGCCATGGTGTGAATCTCTCTGCGCATCCATGTCGTCAAAGTCAGAGAGAGAAAGGTGTAGTAGTGGGAAAGAAAGAAGGAACACGTACTGAGGTAGACGTTAAACTTGCTGAAAATCCCAGGACCATTTGGACCTCCACGAATTAGGCGCCATATCCAGAACGTTAAGACGAGTACGATCTATAATAATCACCATGATGGTTGTGCATATGATAAAATTCCGTTGAGTACCAAGATGACAAACAATTGCATCGCACACACCTGGGCTCTCTTTAATCCTAAACTTGGCCGACCGACAATATGCTCCAGCATATTTAGTTCAAACTTGAGAGAAGGACAGGGGCGATTTTCGGCGATAGATCTCGTTATGTACCACTATACAAGATGGGTAGTAGGGAATAAGGGATTCGAGCAAGTTATAAATTGATGCTACGTTTCCAACACTTGCAGGCGAGAGAACCGGATTGATGGGCAGTGCGACAAGCCAGGGAGAACGAAAAATAGGGGGGAATGACCAAAGCCCAAGCGCAATGAAGGCAGATCACTTCAGGAGGTTCAAAGACAGTGACACAGTAGTGTGTGAGTTTAGACAGTTGTCGAGAGCACAGCTAAGAACTCGTTGATGATCGAGGGTAAAGAAGAGTTTTTCAGAGGTCCAGATATTTGGATACGGGCATACGCATGGAAAAGAAAAAGGGCGCAAAAAAGGAGCAGTTCTGGATAATGTTACACGCGGTAAGTACTGCTGGCGTTGGCTTAGGTCTTTGTCCAAGAGATTTGTCCAAGATGATGATGAGTTGGATGGATGGCTTGAAGGAGATGGATGACGAGTTTTTGGAGCGGGAATAAGTGACTTGGAGGACTAGGAGAAGGTCACATTAACACTCATCATTGGCAACCGTAAAAATTCAATGCGTTCCATATGATTGTCTCCCTCTAGGGTGAAAAGAAACATGTGAATTTTATAGTTTCAAATGTACAAAACATGTGACATCAATAAAATTCCTCTTATGGAGTGTTTTTGCCTTACCCTCGATGTGGATCATGTGTTGCGTGTTTATATTCACGCGATTGTTTCGCGAGTGAATTAGGAGTTCCTCGCTGACTCGGCGGGGTTGGGGCAAGGTACAATTTATACTCACACATCTTTCTGTGGCCATCGTGTTACATATAGCCTCAAGAGACGCATGCACTTTTCGGCTCCCACTCGCTTGGCGTAATCCTCCTAGGCAGGTGATCAGCCTATCTAATTAATTCTCCGCTATCGACGCGGCGGCTAAGTCACTGTGGTCACGCGCGATATTTTTCCAGCCTTGGTTAGTATTTCCCTCAATCAATTCGACCTCTGATCGGAAAGAAGCAATGCCAGCCAGTCTTGACTGGTCACTAGTACTCATCGGCCGCGACGGACCGAATCGATCCTCATGTCACGCGCACACCCGCTGTCCCGGCTACCTACGTATTTATATGCTAAGCCAACAGACCACGAGTCTTTGTTGGGAAAAGTACTGACTTTATTTTTGGTACGCCGGCTTTATGTAACGAGGCCCAAAACGACAGTACTGCGTATGCTTTCGAACGAACCCGACTAACTCCGTTCCTCGCGGCTGACAGCCAATCATTTATCTGGACCCCCTCTCTTTTCTAAGCGCCTTAACCGCGCACTTTAATACATTACCCCAAACACGTTTTACGTCATGTCTACGCATGCACCCAGCGCCAATGACCATTACATAACATCCCCCACCGAACCAAGTAGCCCCTATAAAGGTTTTCCGCTGCTTTTGTGCTTTTTTTTTTGATACTGAGGACGGAGATCTTTATTTCTTCCATCCCCGATTTGATCCCCGGTTCCACGGATCGGAGTATGGGTTGGTCATTTACCCGCATTCACGGCGCCCGAACAACGGCCAGTTATTGAGGGGGAATTGTCTGTTCCGAAGTCAGTACTGTCACCCCAATTTTCGATCGCATTCTCATCCGAATTACTCCGATATTCTTGGTCACCTCCTATCGTATATGTGACGTCTCACTGCGTTGAGGCCTAAGATTTAGGTTGATGCCAGGGGAATGATAGCCAAGGAATGTGCGGCACTAAGTGTAGCGATCGATGATCGAATCTGGCAATACAGAACCAAGGCCTGAGCCATAGTTCTGGGCAGAGTGGGTTGAACTGAACGGACTCACGAACCACGAACGTCATACGGAGAAGCCATGCGCTCCAATTCTCCACTATTTTTTTATTTTTATTTTTGAAAAAAAGGCTAAGGGAACTCGCTTGGTCACTCAGAGAGAGAGAGAGAGGGGGGAATGGTGAGTACAATGCATGGCTCTCAATTTGCGCTCAAGATGGTGTTCGTGGTTCGTGAGTTCAATCCTCCTGCTTGTACCAGAAGATTAACCACTTTGGATCCCCCGATTCCGTGAGTCCGATCAGAAGGCGGTCTGAGTTTCAGTCGCTACGCAGGAGCTCTCTGTACTATACTCATTACTTTTGGGCAGGGCTACTGGTGTAGCTCATTCCGAACCAGCGTGGCAACAGGCACTGGGCAGGAGGATTGAGGAAAATCAACTGATTTTTGGGCACCAAAACTTTCTTCTGTGTGGCGGACAGAATCTGACACTGTAAGCGGTATCGCCTTATAGACCCACCCAGAAGTCCATCCCGTTCGACGAGCGTGTTATGTAAGTAACACGGCGCGCTAACGTAACTCTTACCTCTCTGAGTAGTACACACAGCAAGCTAGCGAAAGAAAGATATGAAAAATTTCTGCAAATGGCAAGACCACTCGAACATTGTGCATCGAAAGCGCCCTAGGGAAGCCCTTCCAGTCCTTTATGCTTTGTTCCAGCTCTTCTCTCTTGGATGATATCACCAGTATAGGAAAGGAACAGTTGTTCCCGTTTTTAGCCTTCTCCCAACAGGCCAGAGGTCCAAATTGCTGAACTGCTGCCTCCAGTTAGTGCCTCCAGTAGCAGCAATCTGCACGAGAGAGATCGGAAGAATTGGGAGATCTCTCATGAGATAGTTATCCCTAATTACGAGACGTCCCAATGTCTCCCCCAGGAAATTGGCAGCAAATCGGTGTGGTGGTGGTCTCTATGATGGCCAGACCCTTCGCTGATCCTCAAACGGTCAGATGCCTTGGCTAGTTGATACATATACACAGGCGATATGAACACGATGCTTGCAGATCAATCAGGGTGCCACAGTGAAACATTGCGATATATTGCAGGTGTGATCAAACAATCGAAGTCCGTACATGTTACATGAAAGTCAGCCCTCTTGAATATTGTGTACGTCAAGCATTGGGTTCCAGTTTCCTAGATCATCGGTGGAAGAAAAAAAAAGTTGTACCTTCTAGAAGTTGAACGCGTCCGTCCATTCCTTACTCCCCAAAAATTCTATTCCATCCTTCCGGAAATCGTCTATGATGACGCTGGAACCTGAGGTCCCATTCTTTATTTCTAGCATCTGGCGTTGCTCTCCGTACTTGGGCCAATTGGGCACTGAGCCAGATGCAAGCAATCCCTCAAACTTCTGGAAGGGAGCGGGAGTGGGGAGGGGGCCACTTACAATCTGAACGGTTAGGGTCAAAGGAATTCGCAAAGGCGAGCCAGGCCTTGACCATGTGCCACGAGGTCCTGCCTATATCCCTTGACGTCCCGGAGGCTAGATCCTGGATAGCGTACCAGCCAAATACTATGAGCGCGATTGATGCAAGCGAGGGCGTGAATATCAGAATCCTACTCTGGAGTGAAACGTTGGGGAAGGATCATTGCCACTCACCCGCCGGAAGCTCACTTGAGTGGGGGACACCCAAATATGGTTTTTCACCTGGAGTCACTTGGATGTAATGGTACGTCCATGCCGGATAGGACGCATCACTGCCCTTGACATACGCATCCAGCAAAGCGCGTCGACCTATGTAATTTTCCCCATGAGATAAAGTGAACCCCAGTGTCAAGCATTCCTCGCTCTAGAAGCTCTCCCGAAGCTCCCGTCAAAGTAGATGGTACACACCACTGTGAAAGACAGAATCCCCATATATACTTGCAGCTCTCTTGTATTGATTGTACGGCCCAAAGAATCGGTCGTCCTTGCTCACCCCGACTGGATCATAGGGACTCCCAATCGTGGGATCATCAGGGTATAACTTCAAAAGGTTGTCGAGGAGCTCTGCTTGTTCTGGCGTCGGGTCAGTGGCATAAAGCAGTCCTGCATCAACAAGCCAAACGGAATGGAAGCAACGTAAATTTCTGCACATGGAGATTTCCCCCACGGAAAATGCCAAGGACGACGAACCTTGCAAATAAGTCTTCATTTCTTCCGAAGAATTGAGTGAGTGGGGAGCGAATACCGTCCCTTCGTCGAGAGTGCACCCCGTAATGATAGGTACAGTTGCTACATTACCCCTTCTAACTTCTTCTGCTGCACCTTCCTCGAAGAAAAAACCATCCATCACTCGGGTGAAAGGGAGCACAGTGAGCGCGCCGGTCTCCACAGTAAAATACACTACGACGAAAGAAGCTAGGAAAAGTAGTTCAGAGGGTTTTGAACGAAGGCATGATATGATCGAAGAGTTGGATCCGGAGGAGGGACAACCTGCTACCTCAGCGAAGGTATTTGTCCAGCGTAAGAGATCGGATGCATTAGGGCTGGGAGTAGGGACACTGGCGGTGGAATGGAACGATGATCGCAAGAAAAGGTTGAACATCAGTGAAGGAATCGAAAGTGGGGGTGAGGTAAATTTACCCTGCTGGACCTCCGCTCTGCATAATAGCACCCTGGAATAAGTTGTGCTGTTTTACATAATCCCCGCCTCCAGCGACAAGGAGAGACCCAATCCCCATCGCACCTGCCGATTGACCAAACACTTGACAGGTCGAAGATTAAAATTCAGGTTGAATAATATTGCTGTTGCAAATCGATCAGAACTTACCTGTTACTCGATCCTTATTTCCTCCAAAAGCGCCAATATTTTCCTGCACCCATTCCAATGCGGCAATCATATCGTGTAAGCCAGCGTTGAGTGTTCCGATGGAAGGATCGGCCAGTTCAGGAGCACCAAGAAAGCCAAAAGCATTCATACGGTAATTGAAGGAGACGAAGATGACTGGCTCGTTCTGAACGTAGTCACAACAGTGTTGCGAATCAGGAAGTGGGGTTGAGACTCCAGAACGGAATACTCATACCAGGACAACGCTCAGCCCGATGATCGCCGAGGCATTGTATGCTTGCGACGCGCCGACAGTAAAAGCTCCTCCATAAATCCAAACCATCACGGGAAGACTCTTGTCTTGATTTGAGGGTCGAATGACATTGATAGAAAGACAATCCTCCGACAAGTCAGACAATGTTAGGTTGCCCGACGTGATGCCCTAAAAACAAATTGTCTCCAAGAGCTGGAAGAAAATCAACACGAGAACGCACTGGGATGATCGGTTGCAAACATGTTTTTCCGTATTTCGTGGCATCTATCTCGTGGCTCGGATCCGCATTAAGTGGTTGTGGTTTCGCAAACCTCAGCTCTCCCAATGGAGGCTGAGCATAGGGGATACCCAGGAAATAATCCTGGCCAATTTGAGTGGTACCTATAGTGAAGTTCTGAGTGACGCCTGTAACGAGGCCTTGAGCCAGTTGGACCTGAGGCCCGGCCAGGTTGGTGGTCCCCCAGTGAGATGCAAGTAATGGCCTCTGCGGACTCGCATACAACGGAGGACGACAAATGGGGGTTATTGAAAACACTGAATGGCACAGGGAAAGAACCACAAAGAGAACGTTTCTCATCGATATCTTCGCAGCCACCATTGTCAGTCCCAGCTTGTGGAGCACGCTGCCGATAGGTGAATGGCGCTCTGTGGTAGGGGAGGAGAATTTCAAGCTTTGTGTTTTCGGTGGCGTTGGGGTGGTCCCAGCTTTCTCCAATGTGGGGGGCTGGGATGTAAGCAAAAACCGCGATTATATAGGGAAACGGGGCCATGGATTGTCTCGCGGAGGTTATGAATAAGTGGCAACGGTGGCGGAAGATATAGAACGAGCAATTAAGGATCAAACCGGCCATTCGGAGACATTGTATGGAGAAGAGTTTGAGTCTAGAGAATATTGCAGCCGCTCTCCATCCTGGGGACAACATTCTAGACGTTCTCAAAGGGACAAGCCATGATCTTGGTCCCACCAGCAAGGTGGGAAAGACATTCCGGTCGTTCTCGGAGGGATGGGGCATCTCAGTTCTGTCAGGAAGGCGGGGAAGATATTCCGATGGTTCCCAACATCATGGTTCCAGCTTTCAGGAAGGCGAGGACATTCCGGCATCCTCAAAAGGATGATCCACCTTGGTTCCATCAGGGAGCTGAGGGCATTCCAGCCGCTCCTAAAAAATGGTGCATGTTGATTTTACCAGCAAGGTAGGGAGGACATTCATCTTCCTAAGAAGTTGGCGAGACTACGGCTCGTGGAAAGGAACCTCGGATAAGCAGCTCGGCACCGGGCCCTGGCCCTCAAAAATAACGGCAATAGTTTTCTGCTTGTGCATAGATATTGGCAGCCCAGCAGCGAGGTGGTGCAACAGGATTGAGCACAAATACCTCGACAAGCACATGTTTCGATCCAACGGAGAAGCACCAAACAGAACATCAGACGGATGATAGAAAGAAAAAAACACATGAAGGGATCTGGTAGGGTGGCACTCAACGAAAAGACCTCTTTACCCAAGACCAAAGCAATCACAACGCCGCATCAGTATGAAATTTTAAGATGCAGCAAGCGCAAACGGGGATAAATGTTATTGAAGCCAGGGAAAATAATGTGTCATTGTATAAAAAAAAAAAAAACCACACCTCCGAACTTTGAGGCCATTGCCGAGAGTGAATGAAGGGGTAGTGGGCACTTGCCGCGTAAGTTGGCGCCCACCAGTTATCTCAGTGTTCATGGTCCGAAATCCGAAGGTCTGATTTAATGGACAACATTTCTCCCATGGTCCAAATTGTCCCATCGAGATCAGAGGACGGCCTATGAAACAATCCCAAGATCCCCATATCATCCTGATCTGAGCGTCGTTAACCGGTGATTAGGAGAGAAATTAGACGACTCGAACGAGAAACCACGACGATGACGAATTGCACCAGCCTGAAGGAGATTGATGACGTAAGTGAAGCAATGATCACATCTTAGGGATCTCCCTGCTGCTATAGGTCCGGAGATGTGCAAGGACGGAAGGTGAGTGGAACAGTACATCACGGAGTTGTGATAGGGAGGACGGACGGATAGTGGAGATATAGAAGACCTTCAGTTACCAAAGCTTCATTAGTAGGTGCTGATAAGATTCGTCGGCTGTGCTGATTTCCAAACGAATAAAAGTTGGGAAGCGTGAACGCGCTCGATGGTCACAGAAAGACGAGCGCTGTGTAAAACCGGGTTGAGTTGCATGTCAGGAGTGCTGCAGATCCACTGCCGACAAAGGCTTGCTTATTGAGACAACTGACGCACAGCACGCGTTGTTTACCTCTGTGTACGTGCCGCCAACGATCTTGGCCACTGAACCACTGAACTACTCAGAGCTACAGTGCCACTCATGAAGTTTCCAAGTTGGATGCTCATTCTTGCCACCACTCACCCTGTGCCCCCTGAGTTGATCTTTGTTCTTCCCCCGACTTCCTTAGTACCGCCTGCACCCACTCCGATCCCCTGCGGCTTAACTCACCTGAGGGCAAGGCGGGTATGAGTCCATCCGTCGTATCATCCTCCTCCCGCCTCAGCACGACGCTTCCAAAGGCACAAACGAAGCGGAAACGCCTTACAAAGGAGTATGTGCATCACTTCGACACCATCGGACGCACTAGGGCGTCGCGTCTCCACTTGCCTTCAACTCCGGACCCCTCCCCCATCATCTCGGAGACTCAGCCTACCAGCGAATACATGGGTGAGACTACAATATCGAACGGCGTCACGGACAGTCCAGCTGGGACGGTAAAGTGGAAGGACGAGATTTCGGATGAGAATGGTATTTGTCGGCTGTTTCAATCCCACGTCCACTCACCAGTGTTCCGACCAGTGTCACGCTAGTAGAAGACCTAAATGTTTCGCCAAGAGCTCCTGACTGTGGGGATCGTGGATGTGGTACGTGACCTATTTATTTCTCAAGTGAGCAACTGTTAGAATTCTTGGTATAATGGCGTACGCTATGACCAACTCACGTTTGGTGATGTTGAGTCGTGTGGCGTCTTAGATTTTCGCCAATTACCTTTCTTGGTGACACTCGTGCCAAAGTCAGTGCGCATTCATAGCGCCTGACTATAAAACCCCAATTTTTGGACAACCCAACCTTTCCTCAGTTCACGTACAACGGGACTGAGGTATGTTGGTTATATCATGTTTGTCTTTCATAAATCATGTATTAAACATTAGTCCACCAGCGATAAACTCGCTAGGTGATTACTTTCTAATCTATTCTAGTTCACGTACAACGGGACTGAGCGATAAACTCGCTAGTCCATCATTTCGTCTTGTAGCAACCTCCTGAGTCTCTCTAGGGTCAATGCGTTCAACCTCAACCGTGGCGGGAATCCCAAATTCTGATGGACGCAAATCAACGGAACATCATAAACTAAGATGCGAACTCGGGAAAATGAACGCTAGAGGAATCCCCTATGACCAGTTCTTGGGTGTCATACATCCCACCTTGAAGAAACTACCCCTGGACCTGCTCAGGAAGGTCAAAGGTCCGCTACGAAAACTCCGGGATGAGTATCTTGAAGTGGTCGATAACAAAGATAGCTTAGAGCGCGATTTGTATGCACCCTTTGCTGAGATGGTCTCCAGTATTATCAAGGCCAATGGAGGGAGGGATCGATTACGTGAAAACGCACGGGAAGAAGAAGCTTCTAGGGACCTTAAGTAGTGCAATGAGGAGGCATGTCATCCTGCACCCACATTTCACCATCGCTGAAATGCTGAAAACTTTAAGTTCATCAGTCCCGATGGTGTTTTTGTTCGCAAGAGACGCGGACGGAGGGCACCAACATCCCCCGATCAAGTGCATTGGAGGGATATTCTCTTTCCCATCGACCTGAAGCGAAAGGAAAATTGCCGTGCTTCACTGCTGTCTCTCACCTCAGATAGTGAAATGACAGAGGAGCAGAAAGAGCGGGAGTCTGAGAAAGTCGGCGAGGCGACGTTGGATGGGAGGCAATAGTTGGCTGGGTATGGCTTGGAACAACTGTCAAGCCAACCTCTTAACCGCTTCGGTACTGGCATGGTTGTTATTGATTCCCTTGTCGAGACCTGGTACTATGATCACTGTGGGCCGATTGGGTCAGGTATCATAGATATTCGGAAACCGGACGACTTCTAGTTGTTCTGTAGGCATATCTTGGCGATGACACATGCGAGTCCTCAGGAAGTCGGTTTCTGCCCTCACTTTGACACTTCTAATTGGCCCGTCGCTCATGACCAGCAACGGATAACCGTTGCAAGTCGTGTTATTTCATTCAATCCCTCTAAACCCATACATATACATTACTCGTGGTTTTATTGGGAGATGCACATCTGTTTTCGCCGCACGCACCAGAGACGATGCATGTTACGGGTCACGATCGAGCATGCGTGTTGAAATTATCATATCAGCCATGCGATCGCAATTCGTCGGAAGTTGATCATTACCGGTTTTTGACGAAAAAGGGTAATGCAGGTACCTAAGATCCTCTGCTCGGAAAAGCTCAGCAGTCTCGGGAATGGACGGGCTTTGATGGAGTATCTTCCTGGTTACAAGTTTGGCCCAATGCGCTATCTAGAAGCGATTGTCATGGACGATGAGTATAAGCCAATCACATTAATCGACATAAACAAAGACACGATATTGTTCTTCCTCTCCATTATCGAAAGTAAGTTTGAATCCTTTCCGTTACTCACAAGAAATTGAGTCTTTGCCAGCACACCGTCGGGCATATGAAGCAGGAATCCTCCATCGTGACATTCATACGAACAATCTCATGTGGACGGTGACGAACGGGCGCACCGGGAAGCACAGGCACGTTCAGACTCTCCCCAGTGTCGGGATTTCTGTCTCGAACCGCCATATCTAGGTCAATGAGAACGCCCTTGGTAGGATCACTGGAGTCCACCATCAAGTTGTTGGGGCTTATGTCTCGATGCAATATGCCGGCCTTTTCATGGAGCTCGTGATGGGCTTAAAGATAGGGTTAGCGCAAGAATGCGAGACGCGGGGAAGCGCAAACCTGCAACTAATGACGTGAATGCCGTTTGGAATGTGTCCATATTCTGAACCGTATAGTGGCACACAAAACGGGCTCAATACCTGCACTCGGAGCTCGCGATCTTGGTAGGAGCAGTTCGCGAAGAGATCACCGCGCACACCGTCGGAAAGCAAGGAAACCGTGCATGGAGCGTGCAGAGTCGCCAAACCACTCACCCCTCTTTGATTGGCTAGGCGATAGAGTTCATCTTCCGGATGTTTCGATATAGGCTGCCAGGAGCATTTGATGGCTAAGCGACCGGATTGGATAACTGGCCCTGAAATAAGCTCAGCTTCATACACGAATGTTCCTCGCCCATACAATGATGCGGCAGAATGAACAATGCTTAGGAGCCTGAAGCGATATCCTTCCACCCCAACCTCGTGATTCCGGATGGTCGACCAAGACCGCCGCTTCATGCCCGCTGGTGCTTCGAAGCAAGGCTCATAACCGAGGCGCTCTTTGCTAGCGAGGGAGAACAATACAATAGAGGTAGCGAACAGCTCGGCATCATCCTTTATGCTGATCTTACTGGAGCAGATAGACCCGGCACGATCGAAGTACCAAAGCTGGAACATGTTTCCGTCGACATGGATCCCCAAAACATGCCGCCGATTTCCAATTGTTGATAACGTACGAAGAGCGTAGTGTTTGAGCGAAGAAGGATCGGGGTAGGAGGCGACAGTTTTTTGGGAATGGGATCGGGCCTTTGTCGTTTTCCATGTCGGTTAGACCCAGCAGACATATCAGGTGGTGACTCGCGGTGTTGACGTTTGGTTCCTCCTGGGGATTGATCATGTCGTGGCTCGGGAGTGAAGACGAAGGCGGGACCCGATTATCGGAGAGTCGCCATGAACTTGCGTCGGAAGAGGGTGAAGAAATAAGGCTGGGGTTTGCATCGATGGTTACGAGTGCATTTGAAAACCCGAATTTGAGCTTCCCGTTTGCCGTTGTCTGCACCTCAACGCCGAGACATCTGGAGGAAAATGATTGGCTCGATTTGGATCGCCGCTCGCGTTGGGGGTGCTTGGCATAGTGTATATCGTGGAGGTACCGCTGATCGAAGCCAAACTCGCGTACTTTGATCAGTATCAGATTGAGGAGGCGCATAAGTTGAATATCCGGGTCCGCTCTGAACACTGGCAAGTCCTTCTTGAAGCCGTACATTTCTATATATCGTTTTCTGCAGGAAAGGAACTTCCTACTTTTTACCACTCGCTCGGCTGCCTCTGACAACTGTGGAGGTGGCACTCCAAATACGGCATTACAAAAGTCCGTAAAGTTCACTTGAATGTGGCTTTCCTCGGGTGGACTAGGTGGGGGTTCCGCTGGTGAGACAGTGGGTCTTGGTGCGGGGAGACCAATCGAACTTTGTGTTTGTGCATCTGACTTGCCATACGATTGGTCTTCATGTTCCCGACACGCGAGAGTATTATGGACATGGACTCCAGTTCCACTGAGAAACTGCTTCGTTCTCTGTCGTAATTTAGATAACAAATACACTTATGGAAGTAAGTCAATAGAAAGGCTTTTGGAGTCACACGACGAACCTGGGGCAATTATTCCCTGTCGCTCTGGCTCTAAATCGGAAAAAGATACTTCCTGCTGCATATGGAGACAATGGGAAGGGGCGAGGTGATCTGCTAGGCAGGACTCCAGCCTCTATGACTTCGTAACAATAGAGTGATCTGCGAGCCCGAAGAGTCAGGATTGCGGATCGCGCTTGGACTCCCTGGTTTGAAGAAGAACTCACTACAGCGGGGTCGGTGAATTATGCTTCGAGGCGGTTCACAATAATCAAATAACTATACAGATTTGATTGCAGGTCTAAGATGATCTTGAAGCTCACAATTGCTTGTTGAACCGAGCATTGGCGGAAATAGCCGTGAAACGATCGCACGTTCGGAGATTCCGCGCTCCTTCGAATTATATATGATAGGCAGGACTCCATGGCAAGCCTCTATGACTTCGTAATAATTAGTCTACTGAACGCACATGTTCGTCGTTATCCGCACTCTTCAACAATACCGCTCGATCCAGCATTTAACTGGCTTGTTTCGCGTTCACCTCTCCCTTCTCGAGCTGATGGAAAAGTCCATCGCCTTGGGCCTTTTCTTTACATGCTGCATCTGTTGTACGCACCCCTTCGCATGCGAGTGTCCGTGCTTTTCAGTCATACTGTTTGACCTGTTTTTCTCCCGTGCTAATGGCAACCGAGCACGATCAAGCACGCATTCCTTCATCCAGGCTCTTTTTGTGTCTCGGAACTGATTGTTCGCCTTGCTGTTAGTAGGACCTTTGAATGTCATCAGCCTTTTCATGGTGATGACTACACATCCTCCCTCGGGCACTCAGTCACTCAGTCAGCCATTGCCAATTATTCACTACATCTATTTATGCGTCAGCGTCCGAACACGTACACTACATAATACTAAATAGGAATCTAGCGTAAAGGTGCTTAGCCCCAACAACGCAACCACCAGGCGCCAGATACAAGCACGAGTCCGTTCCAATAACGTGAACTGAGGAAAAGAAGAAACCCAACAAGGAAATCCCTATTGGGAATTAGGCAAGCCTTGGCCTAATAACACCGATAGTCCCATTAGGTTACATTCGTACACCAACATTTCGGCCTTCAACATACATCCAGTCTCAGACCATCGGGGAAGGGCAATTGAAACAATTTAAAGGTTAAAGGTGTCTGTAAAGTCCTTACTCCGCAAGAATTCTATTCCCTTCTTCCGGAAATCATCGGTAATCACGTTGAAGTCCCCATTTCCGATGTGCAACATGTGGCGTTGCTTTCCGTACTGGGGCCATTTGGGCACTACACGACACAAATAATGCATCAGACTTTGGGAAAAGGACAAAAGTGAGGGGGGGGGGGGGGCGCTTACAGTATGGGCGGTTAGGTTGGAAGGAGTTCGCAAAGGCGACCCAGGCGCTGACCATGTATAACGAAGTTGTGCCCAGAACCGTGGTCCTGTTCTGGACAGCATACAGGCCGAATACTAGTATCGGCATCGATGCGAGGGAGGATATGAAAGTCAGAATTCTGTTCTGCAGTGGATGTGAGAGGGGCCACTCCAACTCACCAGATGGAACCTCACTTCCGTGATAAACACCCAAATATGGTGGCGCACCTGGAGCCACTTGGGTATAATGATATGACCATGCCGGATAATTCGCATTGCGCTTGACATAAGCGTCCAGCAATGCGCGTCGACCTGTGTAATATAAAATGGAAATCAACGTCATTGCTCAACATTCGTTGCTCCAAGATTCGATCGCACACACCACTGTGGAAGACAGAATCCCCGAACACGCTTGCAGCCCTCTTGTATTGATTGTGCGGCCCAAAGAACCGATCATTTTTACTTACCCTGATCGGATTATAGGGACTTCCAAGTGCGGGGATATCTGGGTATAAGTCTAGAAGAACGTTGAACAATTTCGTTTGTTCTGGGGTCGCTAAACTAAGGTTTCCGACATAAAGTAATTCTGCCGCAACAAGACAAACGGAAGTAAGTTTCTGCGCGTGGAGATAGCACGGCATGCCTATGGGGAAATAGTAAAGGAAAACGAACCTCTGAAAGAATTCACCATTTCGTCCGAAGTGTTGAACGTGTGGGGTATAAATTGCGTCCCTTCGTCGAGATTACACCCCGTGATGACGGGCACAGTTGCTACATTGCCCCTTCTTACTTCTTCGGCCGCACCTCCCTCCTTAAAGAAAAATCCATCCACCACCCTGTTGAAAGGAAACGCGGAGTGGGTCGCATTTAACGTCACTAATGAAGCTCGGTAAAGTGCTTCAGAGGATTTTGAACGAAGACATGATATGATCGAGGAATTGGAGGGGGGGCAGCCTGCCGCTGCAACAAAGATACTTGTCCAGGGTAGAAGATCGGATACAATGGGAGCTGGGATACTGACGATGGAATGGAGCAATGATCAGACGAAATCGGAGATGCGAAGATGCGGGTGGAACAAATTTACCCTGCTGGAAATCCGCTCTCCATGATAGCACCATGGAATAAATTATGCTCTTTTGCGTACTGTCCGCCTCCAGCGACAAGGAGAGAACCAATCCCCATCGCACCTGCCGACTCACCGAACACTGGACAGGTCGAAATTTCAAATCCACCCCGCCATTGCAAATCGATTGGAATTTACCTGTCACCCGGTCCTTGTTTCCTCCGAAAGCACCAATATTCTCTTGCACCCATTTTAATGCACCGATCATATCGTATAAACCGGCATTGAGCGTTCCAGTGGTAGGATCGGCCAGTTCAGGGGAGCCAAGGAAACCAAAGGCATTTAGACGGTAATTGAAGGAGACGAAGATGACAGATTCGTTCTGAGCATTCGAATCATCGTCACAACGACGTTGGGTGTCAAAAATTGGGGAATGAGATGCCGGAAGGAATTGCTCATACCAGAAAAACGCTCTGCCTGACGATCTCTGTGCCATTGAAGGTTTGCGACGCACCCGTAGTAAAGCTTCCTCCATAAATCCAAACCATGACGGGAAGATTCGCACTACGGGGCAGGTTCGAGGGACGGAAAACGTTGATAAAGAGACAATCTTCAGACAAGTCAGAGACTGTTATGTCCAGGGTGCCCTAAAAACGAATCATCGGAGAAGTTAGGGAAAGATCAACAAGGGAGAGAGAACATACTGGGCGAATCGGTTGCAAACATGCGTTCCCGAACTTGGTGGCATCTATCGTTTCACTTGCATTCACCGTCAACGGTTGGGGCTTCGCAAACCTCAGCTCGCCCAATGGCGGCTGAGCATAGGGAATGCCCAAAAAATAATCCTGACCAAATTGAGGCACACTGAGACCTGTAAGGAGACCTTGAGCTAGTTGAACCTGAGGCCCAGTCAAGTTGGTGGGAGATGGGACACCATCCGTCCAGCGAGGAGATGCAAGGAATGACCACCCAGAAGGATGACTGAAGGGCGGTAGTGAAAGCACTGAACAGCACAGAGAAAGGACCACGAGGAGAATGCTCTTCATCGCTGGCTTTGGCTTCGTAGTCACTATGTAACTACTGCCTGTAAGTGAGTGATGCTCTGTAGGATAGGCGGTAAATGTCAAGCTGTTTCGCTTTAAGGTGGTGCTGTGATCACAGCTTTGCTGAAAAATAATGATTACATAAAAGAAGGGCAGGCGGATTATATTACATATTGGTGATTAGTCCAGGGAACTTCGTGGTAATGGCAATGGATCGAAGAGGCATTGCATGGGAAAATCAAATCTGGAGGTTGTTCGCTCCGGGTGGGCATGGCAATACATAAGATGCAGAGCATTACACGGACATCGAAGGTTCCGTTTTCAATCCAGTTGCAATCCAGCACTCAATATGGGAAATGGAATCGGGGTCTTGCGCCCGTGTTCTTGTTGCCTGTCGTTGAATGTATGACGACTGCACAGCCACCGGACAGCCTGACGCGCAATTGACTTTTTCGCAAGACTTTCGTGCAGGGCAGGGCTAGCCTCTATGACTGCTGATCGTGTGATCGTGGGCGCTAGAATAATAATTTCCGCAAAAATAAGAAGAAACTTCTTGTTGGAATTACGACTCACTGGGGGCGGAGATGCGTGCCCGGTGTTTATGTGGTGATTCATGTGGTATTACTAAGCACAGGAGTTGCCTTACATGGGACCGCTCCGTCATAGATTTCATTTTGTCTATAAATAAGTACACAACTGACGTTCACAATTTTGTACATCTGGTCTCGCGAGTGTAGCCGCTGAGGTAGCGAATTGCCTTATACGAAATCCCTCTAGAGGCTGGTGTCCTGCCTACGAAATCCTTAGAAGCCTCGACAATATGAACTGAGGAACCGATGAAGTGCCAGAAAAGTGAGCCTCAAATTCAAAAGGGGATCTCAGCGCTAAATTCGTCGCATGTCAGCATTTCGGCTTTCAACATAGGGGTTTGATATGGTCACGATGCCGCGTGGCTCCCCGCGCCCGGCCGGCCGTACGCTGTGCCAATGTATGGCATCACACTACCATCTGGCACCGCATCCCGGTCATCGCGCGCCCGACTTTGCTCACGTTAATTATTCCTAGCGCCACATTGCACTGTAATAGAAGAGATGCATGATTCCTAGTGATGATAATCATCAGTTCAACAGTTCTCTCCTCTCGCTGACATTCTAAATGTAAGTATGCTGCCACTTTGGCATAACAACATCCAGTTTCAGACATTCTAGAGGTTAAACATGTCCGTAGAGTCCTTGCTCTTCAAAAACTCTATCCCTTTCTCCCGGAAATTATCAGCGATGACGTCAAAGTCCCCGTTCCCGATGTGCAACAGATGGCGTTGCTTCCCATACTATTTGGGCACTGCGATACAAACGATGCATTAGATTTTAAGGAAAAGAACAGGAGTAACAAAACGGGAGAGGGGGACCCACAGTATGGGCAATTGGGTTGGAAGGAATTCGCAAATGCAGACCATGTATAACGAGGTCATTCCCAGAACTGAGGTTTTGTTCTGAACAGCGTAGAGTCCGAATACTAATAGCGCGGGTGGTGCGGATACTAAATGGAATCATCATGGAGCGGACCAAGGGAGGGGTGCGAGGCATGAGGACGATCAGGACTTCAGAATCCTGCTCTGCAGTGAAACGGCATTGTAACTCACCAGATGCAGCCTCGCTTCCATGACAGATACTAAAATATGCCGGGGTTCCCGTACAAAGGTATGGATAGGGCACGTCGCGCTTGACATATGCATCCAGCAACGCGTCGACCTATATGATTTCCAGCATCAGATAAACCAACACCATTGTGGGGCATTGGTCCCTCCAAGAATCCCCCATCAGAGCGGACGGTAGGGCAAGTGTTGTTGGCTCTAGCGTCGCTTCACTAACGTTTCTGACGTAGAGCCCTATCATGGAGAGCGGAGGTCCAGCCAGGAAAATTGTTTCACCCTTCGCTTCACTTCTCCGATTTCCAAATCCTTCATTTGATGCCAGTATCCCCGTTCGCACTGTGTCCGACCTCCTACCCTGAACGAATATCTCCGCTGCCGCGGCAGCTGTCTTCCCTCCAATTCCTCGATCACATTATGCCTTCACTCGAAATCCTCTGAAGTACTTTATCAAGGTTCACTCGTGACATTAAATGGGAACGACCCAAGACCCCCCTTCATCCGAGTGGTGGATGCATTCTTTTTCAACGTGCCGCAGAAGAGGTGAGAAGGGGTAAGTAATGTAGCGGCTGTACCCATCATCACAAGATGCAATCTTGATGAAGGGACTTGTACTGCGCACGCTTGATACTACCATTGAACGAAATGGTGGATTATTTCAGAGGTGCGTTTCCTTTGGCTGTTTCCTGCATTCCTCCTGTGGAGAAATGTTGAACTCACATGACTCTTATTCTGCTCGTCTTGTTCACTATAAAATAGGTTGTACTGTTCCACAAAATCCCCGCCTTAACGGGTTGTAATTTCAAATTCTCATCACCCATTGCAAATTTGTCGGACTCACTCATACCGGAAACTCTGCCCGACGATCGCCAAGCCATCATATGGTTGTGACGTTCCAATATAAAAACCAAACCATTACGGGAATGGACAGATTATTACGAAGTCATAGAGGCTGGAGTCCTGCCTAAATGGACAGGTAAGTTAGAGGCAGGAAGATGTTGCTAAGTCTGACAAGTCGGAGGCTGTCGGGCCTGTCGGGCCCACCCAGGGCAATCTAAAGGGCAACATTTACCTGCAAAAGTTGGAGGGAAATCAACATGAGAACAACATACTTCGGTCGGTTGCAAAACATGCCTTTGCGTATTTGGTGGCATCTACCTTGTGACTGGAGTGATGAGAATTGTGGTGCCTAACCAGAGATGTCACCTCGTATAGATTTTGAGTTTGTCAGTAACTAACTGGACCCGGGAAGAGAAAGCTTCCTCATCATCCGCTATATGTAGCTGGCCACGATACCGCCAGAGTATACTAGAGCCATCCCAGGTGAGCCGCTCTGGGCTCATAGCCTGTTGGAGTGGCTGCGGGAGTCGAGATTGGGCTTTGACGCAACTTTTTTGGCACTCTGCCCGCGGCTCCAGTTCAATGGAGCTTAGCATACGGTGTCGGATCTTCGGAATGCAGTCGAAATCGCAGGAGGGGGGACTCGTCTTGAATTAACAATGATGGGGTGGTCCTCCCTCTTGCTTAGAACTTCCTCGAAGGTCATTTTGCTGATAAGTGAGAGCAGAGTTCTTGAGGAAGTGTAGAAACACGAAGTGAACGAGCAACGAGGTGAAAACGCCCTGCTGCCACTCGCATACTCCGAAGATCCTCCGTATGCTAAACTCCATCGAACTGGAGCTGCGGGCAGAATGTCAAAAGATCGCATCAAAGTCCAGTGAGGCCCATCCCGCCTCCCCTGCAGCCGTTTCAACATATACTGCGCATTTGCACAATGATTATCCGATCGGCGTGTTTCGCCGCGATCCCAAATTGGGTTGATTCGGCCGGGGATTCCCCTTATCACTCTATTCCCTGTGTTGCAATGTAAGTGGTGCAGTCTTGCTGCCTGGAGCGAGTAGGATCCCATATGATTTCTGGTAATTGTTGTTCTCCAGCTCTCGGCCTTGCCCATTGCGCGCTTTACTGACGTTACTAGGAATCGAGCGGATAGGCCCTCAGTTCCTAGGCAAGACTCCAGCCTACTAAGTTCCAACGATGTGAACAAACAATGCAGTTACAATATCAATGGCATGAATGCTCGCAAACACAACATGAACTGAGGGGAAAAGAAGAAATCCGGCGAAAAATCCCAACGGTTGCGAAGGTGCCTCCAGCGCGTCTAACCGTCGACTTGGCACTATTCCTTCGGATTAGGCTATATCCCGAGTCACACGTTAGCATTTTGGTTTTTCGGTGGTCCAGTCTCAATCATTGACGAGAAGAGTAGTATCTTTAGAGATTAAACGTGTCCGTAAATTCCTTTCTTTGCAAGAATTCCATCCCCTTCTTCCGGAAATCATCAGTGATGACATCGAAGTTCCCATTCCCGATATTCAACATATGGCCTCGCTTTCCGTACTTGGGCCAATTGGGCACTGAATTCGACGCAAACAATGAATCTGAACATCTGGAAAAGAACGGAAATGAGCAGGTGGCGGCTTACAATATGGGCGGTTAGGATGGAGGGAGTTCGCAAAGGCAACCCAGGAGCTGACCATGTATAACGAGGTCATACCCGGAACCGAGGTTTTGTTCTGGGCAGCGTACAGGCCAAATACTAATATCCAATCAAGGCAAGCGAGAGCATGAAGATCAGAATCCCACTTCTTTGTAATGAAAAGAACTCACCGGACGGAGCCTCACTTCCGTGATAAACACCCAAGTATGCCGGTGTGTCTGGTATTACTTGGGTGTAAAGGTATGTCCATGCGGGATAATCCACATTGCGCTTGACATATGTGTCCAGCAATGCACGTCGACCTATATAATGTCCCGCATTGGACCAATATTAACGCCGTTGGTAAGCATTCGTCGCCCCAAGAGTTCGTCCAATGGATCATGGCACACACCACTCTGGTAGGCACCATCCCCAAACAAACTTGCAGCTCTCTTGTACTGATTATTCTGGCCAAAAAATCGATCGTCTTTACTTGCCCCGACTGGATTATAGGGACTTCCAATGGCAGGAATATCGGGATATAACTTCAGAAGGACCTTGAAGAGCTTCGTTTGCTCTGGTGTCGCTGCACTGAGATTTCCAACATAAAGCAACTCTGTGCCAACATGGCAAACGGAATAAAAGTAGTGTAAGCTTCTCCATATGGAGAATAATATAGCCCTTCTCCGTAGAAGTCCAGGAAACGAACCTCTGAAATAATTCACCATTTCGTTCGTAGTATTGAACGTATGCGGTACAAATAATGTCCCTTCGTCGAGATTGCACCCAGCGATAACGGGCACAGTTGCTACATCGCCCCTTCGGACCTGTTCGGCTGCGCGTTTCCCCTTATCAAAAAAGAATCCATCCACAACTCGGGGGAAAGCGAGTGCATACTTGGTGGCATTTAACGCCACGAGTGAAGCTTGATAAAGTATTTCAGAGGGTTTTGAACGAAGGCATGATATGATCGGGGAGTTGGAGGGGGGACAGCCTGCCGCTCCAGCGAAGATATTTGTCCAGGGAAGGAGATCGGACACAACGGGAACGGGGATACTAGTGGCGGCAATCAGTCAAAGGACTCGAAGACCGGAGAAGGAAAGGAAGGTACGGGTGGAACAAACTTGCTGGGGCTCCGCTCTCCATGATGGCACCATGAAATAAGTTGTGCTGTTCCACATAATGTCCCCCTCCAGCGACAAGGAGAGACCCAATCCCGATCGCACCCGCCGACTCACCAAATACTTGACAGCCGTAAATTCACATTGCCGCCATGAATTGATCAGAACCTACCTGTCACTCGATCCTTATCTCCTCCAAAAGCACCAATATTCTCCTGTACCCATTTCAATGCACCGATCATATCGTGTAGGCCAGCGTTGAGCGTTCCGACCTCAGAATCGTGCCCCAACTCAGGAGAGCCAAGGAAACCGAACGCGTTTAGACGGTAATTGAAGGAAATATAGATGACAGATTCGTTCTGAATAGTCAAAACATCGCCACAACAGGGTTGCATGTCAGAAAATAGGGCTGAGTGTGCTGGAAGTACTACTTAAACCAGAAAAACACTCTGCCCGACGATCACCGATCCATTATACAGTTGTGATGCACCAAGAGTAAAAGCTCCTCCATGGATCCAAACCATTACAGGAAGTTTTGAGCCGAGGGCCAGGTTTGAAGGTCGGAAGATGTTGATAAAAAGGCAATCTTCTGACAAGTCAGAAGTTGTTAGACCTGTAGTGGTTGAAAAGGAAGTTGTTGTTATGCCTGTGGTCTAAAAAAAAAGTCATCCACGAGATCTGGGGGGAATCAAAACGAGAGGACATACGCTGGTCGGTTGCAGACAGGCTTTTCCGTACCTGGTGGCGTCTATCTTGTGAGTCGTATTCAGTTTCGGTGGTTGTGGCTTCGCAAACCTCAACCCGCCCAATGGAGGTTGAGCATAGGGGATGCCCAGGAAATAATCCTGGCCGAATTGAGACATGCTCAGACCTGTGATGAGACCCTGTGCTAGTTGGACCTGAGGCCCGATCAGGTTGGTGGGAGCTGGGACACCATTTCCCCAGCGAAGTACAGGCAATGACGGCTGCCCACCCGTATACAATGAAGGATGACGGACGGACGGCAGCGAAAACACCGAATAGAAGAGCGAAAGAACCACGACGAGAACGTTTCTCATCTGCACCTTCGTAGTCACCATTGTCAGCCCTGATATGACTTAGCTTCTGGAGACTGCTGCTGATGAACAACACACTGCGGTGTGGCAAAGCCTTTTCGCTTTCGCTGACTGCAAGTTCACGCTGTGATCCTAGGCTCTTCCGACGGAGAGGCGTAGGCAAAAGTAGCCAACACGGATGGAAACCAGATGGGAAAGCCCCTGGCCTTCTCATAGAGGTGATGAAGAAGAGAGCAGATTGTGACAACGGTGACCGATAGCCGATCAAGGAGTCGCGGTGGAATTCCCTGGATCAGGCTGGGTAGTAGGGAAAGAATATGCCCAACCGAGTGCAACGCTCTCAATCCAATCCTACCGCATCATGCCTCTCACCCCTGGAAACGCAGGGTCCAAGACCCTTGAAGACGCAAGTAGTGATTTCACCTAGTACTCGTGGCTCAATCAATATAAGTGGGTTGTTAGCCAACTTCGTGTACTGAGGAAATTTTACGGGAGAAGTTTTCAGGTGCCCGTAGTTTTTTTCAATTGCAACATTACAGTCAGGTCGGCCTTGCCCGTCGTTCGCTTACTCCATGCATCCTCGTACGTTGAGTAATGCTTTGTCAATCACTGTAAGGCTCTCTGCTGTGACTCTCTGTTGTCCGGCCTTCCTGGCTCCCATTCTTAGGAACCAATGAATTTGAATCTCAGCGTTTGGAAGCTGTTGGGATACAAGTCATGATCCCGGCCGACAGCAATGTGCTGTGCTAGCACTCAACATCCCACTAGCCTTCCCGACGCAACTGCGCGCCCTGTAGCACAGCCTATTAGTTAAACATAATGTATCATAGCGTCTGCCTTACCTCGGTGAGTGTAGCTGCCAAGCTACGTCCATATCGGGCTGGTTATAACTGTTGAAATCTTGGTTTTCTTGGGAGTTATAGTGCGCTGTGGCCAACTCACAATGTGATGTTGAGCTAGCGGCGCTATATTTCCTTTCTTGGTATTCCTGCTACCAAAGTCAGTGCGCCATTGAGGCGACTGCTTATAAAAGCAGTGAAGAATTTTTCACTTTCGTCTCCCTCAGTTCAACAACGATTGACTGAGGTGAGACTACGCTTTTACCACATGTTGTGTTGTCACTCATGTATCTTCATATGCCCTAGCGTAAAATGCTAGGTAATTAGTTCTAATCTATTAGTTCAACAATGATTGACTGAGCGTAAAACGCTAGCGTAAATTGCTAACATCCTAATAATAACAATCAACACTCCCACCAGAGTGCAAAATACGTCCTCCATGACTCGTTGTTCTACATTACGAGTCTGAGTTCGACAACGCCCTCTTTGCTCCCCGGACTGTCAGATTTCTAGCGACGTTGTACACGTCGCACATCAGCAAAAAATTGTTATGCTCCTGAGTGCTCCGGAGTATGGAGAGCACTGGGAGAATCAGGAGGAGATTGGCTGGTCCAGGAACAGCTCATTTCCTCTGGAGTTGGCCAGGTACTCCAGGGCACTCCCAGGAGGGCATGGAGCATTACTTTGTGCACAAACATATCCAGTAAATACAATTTAAATGCTTCAAAATGTATAGGGGTGAGAAGCTTCTGGGAGCTCCTGGAGCATTTGAAAATGAAAAGGAAAAAAAGAAGGAAGATTCCCCATGAATACCTCCTACCACAAGACTAACACAACAAGACACTACTTAACATTTAGATCAAACACTATACTATACATCAAGGACACTGAGACTCACCAATACACAGTCAAAATTTATGGCCTGATATATGATTAATCTGGCAACTTAATCACTTTTGGGCTTGCAGAATGTGGAGGAGGGGGAAATGGGGGAGAATGAGGGTGGAAATGAGGGTGGAAATGAGGGGGGGAATGAGGGGGGGAATGAGGGGGGGAATGAGGGGGGGAATGAGGGGGGAATGAGGAGGGGAATGAGGGGGGAATATAGAGGGAAATGAGGAAGATTTGAAAAATAGGGACTTCTAAAAAGTGAAAAAAATAATTAGGGAAAAAATAAAAAAAAAAAAAATTCAGGAACTGTAGTGCCTTTGAAGTGCTTTCAGGATATATAATTATTTGTGAAATTGAGGAAGAAATGATGGAGAAAAATGGAAAATACTTTCGGAGACCTGAGAAATAATGAGAACTGAATTGATGGGAAAGTCTGAAAATTGAATAGGAAAGTGAGGGGAAGCCTTGTAGCATTGTTATTTTCTGCTGTTCTAATTTTTCCTGATTCTTCTTGGTCTCACTCCCAGCTGCTCCTGGATACTCCTGGAAGCTCCTGGGAGGGTCCAGGAGCAGCTAATGGAAAATACTTTTGGAGACCCAAGAAATAATGAGAACTGAATTGATGGGAAAGTCTGAAAATTGAATAGGAAAGTGAGGGGAAGCCTTGCAGCATTGTTATTTTCTGCTGCTCTGATTTTCCCGATTCTTCTTGGTCTCATTCCCAGCTGCTCCTCAATACTCCTGAAAGCTCCTGGGAGGGTCCAGGAGCAGCTGGGAGTGAGACCAAGAACAATCAGGAAAAATCAGAACAGCAGAAAATAACAATGCTACAAGGCTTCCCCTCACTTTCCTATTCAATTTTCAGACTTTCCATCAATTCAGTTCTCATTATTTCTCGGGTCTCCGAAAGTATTTTCCATTTTTCTCCATCATTTCTTCCTCAATTTCATAAATAATTATATGTCCTGAAAGCACTTTAAAGGCACTATAGTTCCTGAATTTTTTTTTTGATTTTTTCCCTAAATTTTTTTTTCAACTTTTTAGAGACCAAAATTTTCCTCCCACTGCTCCTGGCACATTGCATACTCCTCACCACTCCCAGCTGCTCCTGAACCCCCTCCCAGGAGAACACTATTGGCTCCAGGAGTGCCCAATCTGCTGTTTTGTCTCCCACATGCTCCAGCCACTCCTGATGCTCCAGAGCATAACGGACTTTTGCTGATGCAGTGGTGGTACATATTGATCTCTCTTATGGCCTCACGGTAATGCAGGCATCCATTAGATGAAACCATGGCGTAGTACCAGGCAGGACCAAACTTTATTGGGAGTTACATGAGGAATTGTCGATACACAAGAACTTGCTCTTCTATAATTACTATGATATAATGCTCATTGTGTCTTCTTGTTCTATCTCCTACTCTGCCTCCTCTTCGTCTTGCTCGTATTCCTGGTCCATCATTGTGGTACGTCTACATGGGGCCGGGCAGTTCACGCATTCGAGTAGCGAAATGGTTCCAGCAAACACAGAATGGATGCCATTGGTGTTGCCGAACGGTCGAGGAGTCCATCTGTATGTCACATCACGATCCCAACACGTAGATTATCTTGGGCGCTGCAGGGCCTCAAGCCAAACTGAATTAGGTTCTTGTGTATATGTAGGGGTGGGTGCAAATTTGGACCAAAGTGGCTTGGCGCCCATTTAACCAACACTCTTGTATGTAGCCAATGTGTCATATCCATGCATATCCGATCCCGACCCGACTCCCGGACCTCCTTCACCACCTCTGGAGTCCTACCCTACCACTGTCCATTCCGATATTCACCTTCGGTCCTGACACCACACGTCCTCTCACCCCCCATGCCACCTCCACTCCTCTGTCCTTCTCCTGTCCTATCTCCGTCCACTCCGATACTCACCTCGGACCAAACACCACTCCTCTCGCCACCCTCCTCCTACTCCTCCTCCCACTCCCCCACTCCCTCCTCACAACACCTCCACCCTTCCATCATCCTCCTACCCTTTCCTGTCCACTCCGATACTCACCTTCAGACCTGACAACTCTCCTTTCCGCCACTCCTTCCCTCTGCTCTTTTCCCTCTGGTCCTCTTCTGCCGACCTCCTGCCAAGTTACGACCTTCCGCTGCTGTCCCGTACCTTGTACTCGGACACCGCTCGTACCTTTGCTCCAAGACTCCATCATAGCCCCTACCTCGGACTTTGACTCCACCTCAGCCTTAGTCCATTGCATTGGTGACCTCATACTACGTAAACACCATTGCCAATATTCCTCGGACTTTCAACCCCACCTCCATAACCTCCGTAAGCTCCGCAACCCCCAAGCTCCACAGATCATCTTTGGCACTTTTGCCGCTTGTAATGTATCTCTCACGTTTTCCCCTCATCCCTATTTGGACTGCTGCTTCTTCCCATTCTAGCCAGTTAGTCATCACCCCCACTTCTCCTCATCCTCCTGCCCCTCTGGGCCTCACCCTCCTTACTGTTAGAGATGGGCGGATTCAGATGACTCTGGAGTGGAATCGGAGACTTAGCGTGGAGGGACCTTGGCCTCAGCGACTCAAGCGGAGCGCTGTGCCATTGCTGTTTGTCCATTTGGTCCTTAATTTCACAGTAGGTGGGGGTCGGCAACAAGGTTGTGACCTTGTGACACTTACATAAGCGAAACTTGGCTCGATCGTGGCCGCGCTGTCCTCCCTCTCCCAAGACCTCATCTTTAGGTTGCAAACTATGTTAAAACTCAGGGAACAAGAACAAAATATTGATTGTCGGTTATCTACATGCAAAAATGACTGCATAAATGGGTCTTTGAGCCGTGTGTAATCAAGCACGATCACTCTCGATCTCCATCCAGCAGTTGCTGGAGCTGAGTACTTGCTGGCTATTCGTGTAAGCACTTTCTTCTGACCTTCAATATAAAGACACCAGCCTTCAGTATTTCCTAATCATCAGGATGAAGGTACCGATGAGTGTCAAGTTGCTGTTTGGCCGCTTTCTTGGATAGCCCGATGTAAGCCTACCCAAAGCAGCAAAAGATATTAGAAATGATAAGACTAAGTCGCGTAATCTCAGACTCTGACTAGAAATCTATGTATTATATGTACCTAAGTCGTGCAAGTCTGCGACGTGAGTAATACATGAGTTATAACATATAAAATAAAAGGTATTGTTCTCACCTCAGACTCTGACTAGAGATCTGAGGGAGAAAGTCCCAAAAAAAATTGCTCCCTTATATATGCGACATCACTGTGTGGCAACATCATCGCACAACGGAGTTTTGAGTTGGACAAAAGTGCCAAAGTGCCTCATAACGCCCCAAAGCGCTCGCCACACGACACCCACCAATTCCTTGATGTAAATAATGTTGATATTCTAATAAGAGAACTAGATGTCAAAGTCAAGTTAAGCGCGGGGTCGGTGAAACCCTGACACGTGATCCCTATTTGCGCCTATCGTGCATTTTGGGAAAGGTGAGTCCCAAATGTACCTTCAACCCCCTCCATTCTGCTCGAATTTTGGCATGCTGGTAGATGTGTTATGTGCCTAACATTTGGTCACTCAGATTTTTAAAATTCGGCTTAGTTCAAAAGATATTCCCTGTGCATGAGCATGTATTTTGTTGCATATCCCCATAGCTCTGTGATTACTGCATGTGACAGCCCCAAACTTCCGGGGAGTATCATAGCCACATTTGGATATTTTTACGTGCAGTCTTTACATGAGTATAGACATACATTGCACAGAGTTAGGGCTCATATCCATCTCAGCTTCAGAGCAGTGGAATGTACCTTTCCGCTACTTCAATTTGCTTCAAACTTGGCCTAATTGCTCTATGGGGGTGAATGCAGGTTTTGGTCAGTCAGATTTTCGAAAATCCCACTGATGCGTGAGAAAAGGTTGTGAATTTCCAACATACTGTAGTTATGTACAAACCCGCCTCAAAGTAAGTTCCCATACCACATATGCATTTTAATATTATTATCGGGCAATAATTATATAACACTTAGTAGAAGTTGTGTGGTTCAATGGAGTGGCTTTCGGGTGGGCGCAGTGGCCGTATTTTTAAATCACGTGCTACTTTTAATTTCTCGGACCTCTCCCTTCATTTGCCGACCCCCACAGTAGGTGAGCAGGAAGTCTCTAGGGGGCATTTCAGGTTGGTTTCGGACTGAACCCACGAGTATGTACAAGCGCCGATATATATAATGGAAGGGGCAAAAGCACAAGGAAACAAAGGGGAACCGAATCGGAACGAAGACGTCTGAACGGGGACAAAGGGAAGAAGGAGCAGAGCAGTACCGAAAGGTCATAAGGAAGGACCTGTGATACGTCCAAAAGGAGGTAGGGAGAGCAAGGCCCAGAGGGGCAGGAGGATGAGGAGAAGTGGGGATGATGACTAACTGGCTAGAATGGGAAGAAGCAGTAGTCCAAATAGGGATGAGGGGTAAACGCGAGAGATACATTACAAGCGGCGAAAGTGCCAAAGGCGATCCGCGAAGCTCGGGTTGTGGAGCTTACAGGGGTTACGGAAGCGGGGTTGAAAGTCCGAGGGATATTGGCAATGGTGTTTACGTAGTATGAGGTCACCAATGCAATGGACTAAGACTGAGGTGGAGTCAAAGTCCGAGGTCAGGACTATGACGGAGGCTCGGAGCGAAGATACGATCGGCATCCGAGTAGGAAGTACGGGACAGCGGCAGAAGGTCGTAACTTGGCGGAAGGGTGGCGGAGGAGTACCAGAGGGAGGAGAGAGGGGAAAGGTAAGGGGGAAGGGTAGGAGGATTACGGGAGGGTGGAGGCGTTGTGGAGGGGGAGTGGAGTAGGAGGAGGAGGAGTAGAGGTGGTGTGGGGGGTAAGGAGGAGGTGTGTTGCCAAGACCGAAGGTGAGTATCGGAACAGCAGCGGTAGGTTATGACTCTGGAGGTGAAGAGGGTGGAGGTCCAGAAGTCAGGTCGGGGTCGGGTATGCACGGATATGACAGAGTGGAGGTATGATCAGTGTCCAAGTTTGGGATATAGGATGGGAATGGGAGGTCATACCTTGGTGGAGATTAGTCAGGAGAGAGTGGAGGGTGGGGTCAGATCTGAAGGTGGAGATCGGAGCAGATGGGAATAGGTAGGACTCTGGAGGTGGTGGAAAGGGGTCCAGGAGTTGCATCAGGATTGGGTATGTATGGATATGACAGCTGGTGAGGGCAGGTGGAGTTGAATATGTTTCAGATTGGATCTTACAGCTAATGTACCTCATTTCCAATGGACACTGAATGCACTGAACAGTTGCTACAGCCAACATGAAGTTTGCATGGCATGATTACTGGACTCACAGTTTCAAACATATTCACAGTGGTTATCTATCCAAGACGTCTGTAATGTCCAGATGGCATGTTGGGATTTCCATCCAGGTGTCAGGATACTCTCACATTTGCCTGCTTTTCCTTTTCCTTTCCACTTTCCATTTTCTGTATTCTCTGCTTCTTCCATTGTTGTGGTTTGTCCAAGCTGTTGACTTGGTGGTGGTCAATTGGGAGGGATGTGTAGTGTGATTGACATCTGCCATGGCAGTGGACTGAGTGGGTTTCATGGAACCAAACAGATGTTTTCATTTGTTGGGGGAGGATAATGAGCCTGTATCTGCTGCTCCATCCATGGTAGATACTGGTCCTATGTTACGGGGATGGGGGAAATTTCCCATTCCTCGATCCATTCTTATAGTGGGATGACGAGGGTCGTGTCTAGTCTGTACCATAACGGGATATGTAATCGATGAGTGATCCCAGTCTTGCCTGGGAGCGGACGATCGAATTCCCATCGATCGCAGTTGGTGATGTAGTGAGCCATTAAGGGATTGATGATAGGTAGTCGGAGATACCAGGACAGACGGGTCAGCCACGGATACTTGGCGCTCCTCAATGGAGCGTACCGTGTGCGAGGTCGCGACTTGTGAGATGGGTGAGATCTTCGTATAGTTGCTATCGGGTACTTGGCGTTCGCAGTGCGAACGTACCGGTAGCGGGTTGATATCATAGGCATGCAATGAGGACTGACTAATAGGGCCTTCGGTGACTTGGCGTTCCCAAAGGGAACGTACCGTTGGTGGGGAAACATGATGACTTGCGAAGGAAGAAACAGACGGTGGATGGGCAGCTACTTGGCGTTTGCGTAGTGAACGTGCCGGCATCACGGGTAAGCAGGCCTCAGAGTATTCACGATCTCCATGATCGTGATGGGACGTCGTGTGTCGAGTACTGGGGGGAGAGCGTAGTGAGGAGGACCCATAGGGTACAGATTCCATAGGACGAAATACATGTTGAGAGTCTTTGACTCGCGACATCGAGTTCTCACAGCGAGGGCCGTTAGAGGACTCGATATAACCAGACATATAAGACATATTGAGAGCTGTACAATCACACGGGTTCAGTTGAGTCACAGGGAGGGTTGTTACAGAAGATGGTACACGAGACAGTTGTAGAGCAGTTGTTAGTTAGCGGGAACCGCCTTCGGCGGTTTCCGTACAAGACGCGTGACTATCTACAAATAGTAAGGTCGTGGGAAATCCTGCGAAACACAAATAACCTCGGCCAGCACCAAAACCCCAGTTGGGGAAAGCTTTGCACGAGGGGGGGGAAAGGGGTAGAACGGGTAAGGAGGATAGGGTATCGGGATAGAGGACGGAAGGGAGAAAGAGGGGAGGAATGATAATGAGGAGAAGTCTTTGACCATGTGATGGATATGGTCGTTGGAGACTCCGTATCCGTAACATCCTACATAGGAAATGTTTTTGATGACCCAATGTGTATGATTCATGGAGTTGTGTTTCCATTTAGCTTGCACATCAATATTCGAACCCAGTTGTGGAATTCTGGATTTATCAAAATGATGGTTAGAGTTGTGAAAGTGCAAATGCACTTTGAATCAAAGTAGAGTTTTGTCCTGTTTTTTTTTTTAGTTGCAGTGACTTTTCCATTGTACCTTTGATGACTGAACGAACCTTTGCACTATAAGCACCAATGTTGAGACTGAATTCTTGACCACTGGTTCCAGTTGCAGTCATGAATTGTCCTATGAAATGGGGTGTTGCTGTCATATCCATACAACTCCGGACCTCTGCTCCTGTTTCTGGACCCCCATCTCCTCCTCCAGAACTCCACTTCCTCCACCCCCTCTTCCCCCTGTTGGTTGTTGAAAGCCCACTCTACCTCTGGCTCCAACACAATGTCCAACATTACATCCGGTCCGACTCTGGTTTACTCTGGGTCCGATCCCAACCTCATACCTTCCAGACCAGAGTTTGCAATGCTCCATACCTCCGGCTCCAGACTCCTGTACTGGAACCCCATCGCACCTCCACCTCCAGAACTCCAGTCACATCTCCACCTCCAGACTTTGACCTCCTCCATCTTATCTCCTTGTACTCCTTATTACATTTCATTTATTACCTCTAGCCAATATTCCGGACTTAGACTTCTGACTCCGGACCTCCAGAACTTACTCCAGACCCTGCAGTCTCTACTGTATGGGGCCATTTAATCCTCTTGCTTATTTAGACAGCTGCTTCCTTTCCATATTAGTCAGCTGTCATTCCCCACAACCCCCTCCACTCCTTCCCCTCTTGGCCTTGCCCTTTTGGGAAGCACCATAGAGTTCCAACCCTTGGCCCTTGGGGTTGTCCCCTCATCCAGTCTCCCTTTGTCCTCCTTCCAGTTCCCTTTGTTCTCTGACTCCACTCCTGTATCGTTATATATACACTCTGTACATAGTTCCTGTACCCCCAGTCTGAAATTGACGACCATGATGACTGGATTGTCCCCCAAAGAGACTCCCCCTGCTAACCTGAAGTTAAGGACCACCTTAGACAACAAGCAGTGGCACAGCGCTCCACTTGAGTCGCTGAGGCCAAGGTCCCTCCACTCCTGAGTCCCTCAGGTGGGTGTGGGTGAACAGATACACTGTGCCATATAAATATAAAAAGCCTGGGAGGAGAGAAGGAGAAACAGAGACGCCTAGAGACCCTCAGCATCGATCAGGTAAGATGGAGCAGCCAATCAAAATGGTCCGAAACCTGGCTTCAGGGCAAACCGAGTCAATCAAATCTCGAAAAAGTAGTCCCTCAGCAATTATTTATTAGTTAGATTCAGGACGTGCAAGTACCAGCTTCTGTTTCACAGTCTGTCTGTCAGCCCCCAGCTTGGCATGCACCAGCGCTGCTCATGGCCTTGGTCCGAAGGCTCTATCCAAAACATTGTCTCTTGAACACTGTTGTCTCAAAGCCATTGATCGCCTTATCTGTCGTTACTTAGGGTGGCAGGGCACACCACCATTGTGTTAGAACTGGGCGAGGGCAGACGATTCCAGAGGGGAACTGGAGACTTAGCAAGGAGGGACCTTGGCCTCAGCAACTCAAGCAGAGCGCTGTGCCATTGCTGTTTGTCCATTTGGTCCTTAATTTCACAGTAGGCAAGCAGGAAGTCTCTAGGGGGCATTTCAGGTCGATTTTAGACTAAGCCTAAAACGAGTATGCACAAGCGCCGATATATATAATGGAGGGGGCAAAAACACAAGGAAACAAAGGGGATCTGAATCGGAATGAAGGTGTCCAAACGGGAACAAAGGGATGACAGAAGTGGAGTGGTACCAAAGGTCATAAGGCAGAACCTGTGGTACTGTCACGACCATGCATCCCAGCCCGTTAGCCACCCGTCCCGATGCTGCCTGAGCCCATTCCCGCTATGCGAGCGCGAGCACGAGCCCCGACCTCAGCCCTATCCTCCATGAGGACTCCCTGCTCACTTCCCCGCTTGCCCCTAGGCTCCCCTGCACCTGGCCGACTCCCCCACAGCCACACCGACCTCCCTGCCCTGAGTCCACCTCTGGCACCGACCTAGCGTGACTCCATGACATCGCCTACTCCGCTACGATACCATCGCCGCTATTGTGGCCCTATGCTCTTTCCTTTATTTATCTGTTATTGTTTGTTTTGACCCTCAGTCATTGCCAGCCGCTATGCGGCCAACCCCGCTCCTTCTTCTTGTTTGCTTCCGGACCCTTCGGCCTCCGGCCCGGGTCCGCTTCCATTCATTTCTTCCTCCTATATATATCCTGTATGATACTTTATTGTACCTTAGCTCTAATATTGATGTGACCACGACCCCTAAGTCCTGACCCCAACAAGGCAACCCCAGTGAGTCCGAAATGAGGGCCAAGAGACAGCTAG